AGGTGCCATTTAGTCTAAATGTGGTCTGTTTCTCTTTGGCAAAGGTTTTTTTGTGAGTGACAAGGATGCTTAATCTTAGGAAACTTTGAATTTGGAGAGCTTTCAGTGCATGTTGCATTTTTGAAATACAAAGACAATGCCACCACGTCTAAAAAGAGGAAGGGAGGGGGTGTTGGACTAAAGCTTATGCAGCTGTCCCTTTAGGAGCGCCCTGTTCTTTAGCTTGGTGTGAAGGAAAGCTTCCTTCCCGGGAAAGAACCTCTGGGAGGTTTTCAATAACTGAAAGATGACTGTTTCAAGAACCCTCCTCCTTGGATGGATAGATGGTCATCATGCTCTCTTGCTTCCTGGGAGAACAGCGGATATCTGTTTTGTCCTTTCATTTGTGATGGGAGAAGGGAGTGGGCATGACTGTCATTTCTTCTCATTCCAGAACAGACTCAGGAGAGCATTCAACGGTTTGAGCAGCAGGCAGGGTTGAGAGATGCTGGCTACACACCCCACAAGGGCCTCACCACCGAGGAGATCAAGTACCTTCGAGTGGCAGAAGCACTCCACGTAAGCTTGATTCCTAAGGAGCTTAAAAACAAAAACAAAAACAGAACAAACCATCATTCATGACTGTGGTTTCGAAGTTGCCATCTCAGCCAGTTGGTGGCTGTGGAAAGTGGAGGGAAGAGTATTAGATGAGATTTAGAACTGGTTTAGTCCCCTCCGTGATAGACTTACTGGTTGAAGGCACAGGAGCACCTGCGTCCTACTTCTGTGGCTTTATCTGTGAGTGAGGTATCTGTTTTGCTTATTTCTTGTTAGGAGGATCAAATGAGATTTTGAGGTCACAAGTGAACATGTGGGAGCACTTCATGTGGATGATTTTTTGTACAAGTGGTCAACTTTGAGGGAGAGAGAGGAAGATTAGGAGATCAGCAGAGATAACAGTTTAACTGGAAAGGAACAGCATTATTCAAAAAATCAAAATCTATTGTGGAATTAAAATGTTTTTAATTTCAAAAACTGGAATGAAGAATTACTTTTAGGTTAATGATGACCAAATATTTGAATAAGTAAAATAGTTTCAAATGAATTCCTTTCAGGGAATACCACATCATTCATACTGAATAGTGTTTCATGATTTATCAAGTACTTATATTTACTTAATCTTTGCCTCAACCCTTTGAAGTAGCTACTATTGTCCATAGTTCATAAATGAAGAGACTAAGGCCCAAGACCACATATGTAGTCAGTCACGATACCTGGATTCCACAAGACCCTGGATACCCCCATTCTTTTGTCTCTCACCCCTCACCCCCCCATTATTTCAAAGTTGTCACAGAAGCTGGCTTTTGAAGGGGATCCATAAAGGGGTAGTGGGAAACAAAGGAAAAGGGTGAAGGGTCCCAAATGTCACCAGGAAGCTTGACCTGCTTTCTGTAGGCCGAGGTGGGTCATATCGAGTCTGAGTTCTGACTATGGGATAGTGAAGACCTCTTGGGCATGGGGAGAAGAGCACAAATGGCAGAAAAGGATTATGAAATACAACATGTGGGAGAATACCAATCTGGTGACCTGGGCCATAGGGCTATAGGACACTGGACTGTTTGATTTTGTGATGCACGTCCTAGATGATTCTTTTGCACAGTGAATTTAAAAATCCATTGCTGGTGGGGGATCTCTGACAAGACAGTTTGTTCCAGAGAGGAGCATTGCTAGTCTCTGACACTGTACTGAGAGAGAACTTTCCAGTTTAGGGTTTAGAACTCAAGCTGAGCACTTCACCCTGTTGAATGGTAAAATTGATCTTGGTTAGCTCACTTTTTCTGAGCCTTGGCCACCAGAGCAGAGCATGAGAATGGCAAAATGCTTGATGTAACTAACCTCATCTTTTAACAAATTGTCAGCATGCATAAATTGATATGTTGGGTATTTGAGAAGATTGATGCATCTTTTGTTTGGGGTGTAGCTTGGGCTAAGCAGTGGCATACTAGAGAGAAATTAGGCTACAGACAGTATGGGAGCCTTGATCTGGAACTGAGTAGATTGTTCTCTTCCCTGTTAGACTGCTGCTTGGTTAGAGGTATGTTCACAGTGCTGGGTCAATGCAGAGGATCTGAGGAGAAAGAGAATGGGGTAGGCACCACAGAAGCAGCATTTAATTGGAGAGAAGAGCATGTCTGGTTCTTGGCTTCGGAATTGTGGGAATGGTAGGGATTGTGCATGTTGGGAGAGACTGTGAGAACAGAAGTCAGGGCCTTGCTTAAAAGGCCCAGGAGGCTTGAGTCCTCGCTCTTCCATGTACTGGCTGGGTGAATGTGGAAAAGTCACTTTTCTGAAAGTACAAGCTCTAGCATAGTATTTATTTGCAAGGATGTTTGCTGTATGTTGTAGAATGTTTAAAAGATGGACTTTTACCTCGTGACAAAAACAAAGGAATGAAGTATTCAATTTTCATCTAAGCATACAAATATGCTTTTCCTTTTGCCTCAAGTTAGAATGTGAATAAAATTGTTTATGCCCAAGCGTAGTTGTTTTGGACTTGCTCAGATGTGTAGTCTCTCTCCTTACCCCTCTGAACAGAAACTAAAGCTGCAGAGTGGAGAGATCACAAAGGAAGAGAAGCAGCCTGCATCCGCCCAGTCCACCCCGAGCAGCACCCCGCACTCTTCCCCTAAGCAGAAATCCAGGTGAGCCCTCCTCTGAGTTCAAGGTGTTTCAGAAGAGCCAGTGTTGCACGTGTGGTTTGAGCGTGAGAAGGGACAGTTGTTAGTTCTTGTTCCTTTGGTGTGAGACATTCCTGGATGCTTAGGAAGAGGATATATTTGGTTCTTATTCCTTCTCTTTTCCAGAGGCTGGTTCACTTCTGGTCCTTCCACAGCCTTACCTGGCCCAAATCTTAGCACCATGGATCCTGGAAGTGGGGATAAGGACAGAAACCCATTAGATAAATGGAGCTTCTTTGGACCGAGACCCCTCCAGAAATCTGATTCAGGTACGGCAGCTCCTTCAAATGAAAAGCAGTGTGGCAGGCATCTCACCATGTTGCATATGGAAACCCAGCTGAAATTTGCTCTCTGCTTTGCTTCTGTAGGTGGTTTTGCCACCCAGGCCTACAGAGGAGCCCAGAAGCCCTCTCCAGTGGAAATGATCCGTGTGCAGGCCACCCGGATGGCAGGGGATCCAGCAGCCTTTAAGCCGCCCAAGATGGACATCCCAGTGATAGAAGGGAAGAAACAAGCACCCCGGACCCATAACCTCAAACCCCGAGATTTGAATGTGCTCACACCCACTGGGTTCTAGAGCTCTTTCTGTTCTAGGTTCGAGTCCCCCATACCCCTATTACCTTGGCTTTGACATAGGAAAGGTATAATTAAAAAAACAACAACAGCAAAACGTTAAACCAAGGTTAGAGCTGGCGACATCATTGGCTTTTGAGAAACATTAGTGCAAAGCTTGTCCTTATTGTTTGGAAGAAGCCATTTTGTACCACTTTAATTTAGACTAAATAATTAATCTTAGCAGTGATATGGGAGACCTCATGACCTATTTTTGTATCATTTCCTCCAGGTAAGAGCTTTGATCATGACTTTCTAGGTAAATACTGTTTGTGCAGTTCCCATACCCAGACTTCATAATTCTTAGACCACTATCAATGTGAGCACCGGCAATTCATAACGTAGAGGTGTCCACTAACGAGCCTAATCAACCTGGGTCCTTCTCACTTCTGGACACTGGGCTGGTACTGTGTTCTGGCGTGACGTGTTAGGAGGACTAAGAGCTGTCTGAGATCTGAGTACAATTAAGAGCCAGACTTGTGCTGAAAGTGGCCTCTCCTTGCCTTCTTGGTGGACCTACTAGATCACCTTGTCCTAAGGCCAGTGCTGTCGGAGGAATGCGTCTCTTGTATGTGTCACACAGATCAAACACTAGTTTTGCAAATACTTTCTTGCACTTTAAAAGAAACTTCATAAGGGAGAAAATTTCAGTGTGCAGATTGATTTCCTTGTTCACAGGGTTGGACACCTTTTTTTCTTCCCATCGGGGCATGGAAGAAATGAACATTTTCTGTAAGAAAGCATTTCTTCCCCAAAGCCTTGTACCTTTATACACAACCATAACTTACCGAGGAAAGGAAATCGGGAAACTGCCTTTTTATTGCTCTCCTCTGTCTACATGTTCAGTCACTGTCTTGAGCTTTATCTCAAATACCTGCTGATTTTGGATTGGATATTATATATAGGAGTTGACCTTTCCATAGAAAGATCCTGGAGTCTAGAATTACCTGAACAATTAATTTATTTGTGTCTTCTGTTGTGCTTGTATCTTGTTTTGACAATAAAACTCCTTACTACTTTCTCAAATGCAGAGAGTTGGGCTTTTTGTTGGGTTAAGCATGGTAGACTTGGTATTTTGAAAAACGATTGCCTTTTTATTGTATCCTTTTAACATCAAGTTATCTGTAACAGTTTCAATCTTTGTTTCTACCCTCTTTCATTACACTAGATGTTAATAGGCTGACCACAAAGTCAAATGCATAGGCAGTATAACAGATATTCAGTGTAAGATGTGTACGTTTCATTGTGGAAAAATGGAAGAGCCATGTAAGTCGTCTTCTCGAAACAAGTTGTCAGTACCCTGAATGACATAACGTTATTGGCTAGGATTTGTTCAACAGAAGGATTCTTTATTATTTTTTTTTCCCACGTCTTGAAATGTTTAACATAACAGTGCATATAGTTATTACCTGTTTCAAAAAAAAGAAAGTATAGATAAATAATTTATTAAAAAAAATATATATACACCTTGTATATTTAAGCCATATCTGAGAACAGGCTAGGGTAGGATTATCAAAAAAAGATATCTTCTAAAGTAAGAAAGTTATTAAAACCTACAGATAAATAAGATAGGCTTGGTCCTGTAAGGTTTAACGACTTTGCCATACTTTATAGAACTTCCGGTAGACAGAGTTCAGGAGGTATTGTTGGTGTTAGGTGCTCAGCAGGACCTCAGGGGCCACTCGTGGTCTTTGCAGTGTCATCAGAGTTCAAGTCTGCGGCGTAGAAGAGCAGGAGCTTCAACAAGTGCACTTTGTCTTGGAGCTGCGGGACAAGGGGCTCCCCCAGCATCTGGATCAGGCGACAGCGAAAGGCCTCAATATGTTTCTCCACGTCCACTACTGTGATGTCATCACCTTGCTGGGGCTTGGGCTTAATTCTTTTGATTATTAAGTCTTTTCGATCAATCACGGAACTCCGTAAGTGCTCTGCAAGAAGAAAAAAGTCTGTTGGATTGATCTGAATGGCTTTCTATTCCTTTAACATTTAAGAAGAGGAAATCCATTTTTAGTAGGGATTGACCAGCTACTGGAATACAAGTCCAAGGCCATATGGACTTATGATAACTCCATTTCCAAAGGGTGGCTTGGTTCTTGTTCTCCTTGGTCCTCAAGAAGTTTTACATATTAAATAATAAAATTCATTTTAGTGTTTCCTCTAATATTTTAAGCAATGTCCCCTATATTAATCAGCAAAACTTTCAAATTAGTGTAAGCACAGAGAAGAAAATCCAAGTGAATTTTGGATATCCTTAGATTTATTTAAAGTATAATAACAACCAGGGAATACTGAATATAGTAAGTTTATTGTACTGATTCAGTACAATATATATTGTGGGATGTTCAGTACTTTATATATATTGTGGGATAGAGTAAATGGATAAATATTCATGTTTTAGGAAAAGGATTCTCTAAGAGGACAGAGATTCTGGTGTGGAATTAAGGAGAGAAAGAACCCTATAGTACTAGTGAAGAATCTCTATCAACTTGTATTTTTTTAAAACTTGCATTAAAAAAAATTTTTTTTTTTAAATTTCCTAGCTCTTGTGAGAGAGAGCCTTGAAGCAGAAATATACAGTAATAAACAACACACATATAACCAGATTTTGGTTTCTAAATGCCATTCCCCACCAAAACCACTTTTTAGAGAAAACACTGATTCTAGGACTGAGATAAGGAAATTACAGGGAGAACCGTAATTATCTTATACAAGGAAGTAAAGGAATGCTTAAAAATGGATGGGAACATGTCCAAAGGACATAGGAGCCAGTTTGACAGGGCTCCTATTGGCCGTACTTGAGCATTTAAAAGTAATGACAAGATTAAATTATGACCTTGAAAAAAAGTGAGTGAGAACATGTGGGAAAAGGAAAAGATTATTTTTCTAGAAGGTGGCCAGTTAGTAAATGTATAAGTAAAAAGTCACATTTTGCAAGCTAGTAATATGATCAACAACATGCTAAAACCACTGAGTGAAAGGCTGAGTAGGATTTTCATGGGTTCAAAGTCTACCATCTGGATCACTTATTAATAACAGAAGAGTTAACTTGGAGAAATCTGTTACATTTAGAGTTGGACTTAACGTTACCAATAATAGGACCAAACTGACATTATTGCCTCTTGCTTGTCATACTCTGAGAAAGAGGGTGTTTAATGTGTAGTGTTCTTGCCAACAGTGCTCAACGTGAATCTGATCATGAAGGAACAATTAGACAATCCAAATTAGGGGCATTCACAACTGGCCTGAACTCTTAAAAAAAAAAGTCAATGTCATGAAACAAGGAAAGGCTGGAGCTATTCGAGATCAAAGGAGACCAGAGAGTTTGACACCCAAATATAGTGGTTGATATTTGACTGGATCATTGCTCAGAATAAAACCCAACCAATTAGGAACGCTATCGGGACATTAGGTAATTCTACTGATGAATTTCTTGAGCATGAAACAATCGTGGTATGTAGAAGAATATCCTTATTAGGAGATACATGCTGATATAATTATGATGTAACTTATTCAATTGGTTCAGCCAAAAAAACAAAAAAAACAGTATAGATCAATAGAATAAACATGGCAAAATGTTAACAGCTGGTGAATCAATTTAAAGTACGGATTGGTGTTGGTTTTTTTCACCTTTTCTGTAGGTCTGAAAATAGCTGGAGAAAAAAAAGCTATAAGGCATCTCATCCCCAGTCCATAGGCCAGCCCCAGGAGGTTTCTGGAAGTGTGTGGAATTCGGGGGTAAAACAGCACAAGGTCACATACAAGGCAGACTGAGAAAGAAGAACTGAGGACTTTGACTCTCATCTGCATGAAAGTACAGCATCATGTTCTCAATCTCATTTATAAAGAGTGTATAATGACACCTTCACTGATACCATTATTAAAAGGATTGAACTACAGGCTGTCTAAAAATTCAAAAAATAGAAAAATCTTAAATAATAGCTCAATATGTTTTTCCCCAACCTTCAGGTATCTTTCCAGGTAAAGTCCCTCCAAATTGACAGCAATGAACTCAGTTGTAATTTCAATTAAAAAAAAAATTATATATATGTATATATCTGCAATCAATAGAGTGTTCCAAAAGTCAGGAAACAGGGACCAAAGCTTCCTTGAGATATAACTGCAGGATCCTTTCAATAGTAAATACAAATTTACAATAAGCACCTACCTACTTTATGTCTGGAACAGAGCAAGACTCCAGGAAAAGAGTGGAGAATCACAGATTTGAGTTTAGCCTCATGGAGCTCATATTCCAGGAAAATTGATGAAGTAAGCCAACAAAATAAGAGGGCTTGTAGTGAGCGCAATGAAAGAAAGAAAATGATGCTGTGATAAAAACAGCAACTGTGTGGTGGGGAATGGGGAAAGCAGCCATGCCAGGAAAAGACCTCTGAGCTGAGTCCAGAAGGATGAGAAAGAGACAAAGATGTCAAAGCCAGGACATTTCCCCTGAAAACCAGAGCTGAATTCAGTAGTTAAATGAGAGGAGAAGGCAGGCTGGGCCCCATAAAGACAACTTCAGCCTTTGTGAGCAAAGTGGAGCTGCTGGAGGGTTTTAAGCAGGGAAATGTGACCCATTTTTACTCTGCTACAGGACAATGATCCTAGGGGAAAAAAATCCTTTTAGTAGAATTTGATTTTTTTATACAGTGCATGTGTTTTTTAAAAAAACTACAAAATGACTTGGAAAAATGGAAAGGTTTGCTGAATAGGGTGGCATAGGGAAGACTAGGGGTGAGACTGGCAAAAGGAATTTGTAGTTCATTAAAATACTGCAGGAAATTCAAAGTCACAACTGTTGGCAGTGCCCATCTAAAGCACTGTCTAAGAGGAAGGAACTCTTGGCTGTGGATTTGTCATTTGGGCCTACTTGGCCAGGCCTTGAATTTTACGCTTCAGTAAGGATGGGCGTTCTTAACATCAGAGGTTGGTGTGATGATTGTGTGAGGCAATTTATGTAATGGATCTGTTAAGTAGTGTCTAACTCAAGATATTTTGGCTGATAAGACTATCACTATTACATTTTGGATTAATACGCAGGTGCAGGGCAGCTAATTATTATGGCCCTTCTAGTCAAATTTCCCCATTTTGTGATATATTGTAAATCCTAACTTAATTCACCAGCTCCTGCAGCCTTGTACATCAACAGCCTGTTATCTGACCTGCGGATTTGGGTTCCTCAGCTCCTGAGACTACGTGGGTGAGAAGATTCCTCCAGATTGAACTCTAAACTACAGATTTGGGACTTGCCAATCTCCACAATTGTGTGAGCCATTTCTCTGGACGACTGTGAGTTTTGTGAGATGTTGCAGAACCCTGGGACTTGAAGGAAGGGACGAGTGGTGATTGACAGCAAAGACTATGTTGGAAAAGTCACACAGTTGGGATATATTTAACCTCCCAACTCAGGGACCAGCATTGTGTTGATTTTCATAAAAGAAATTATTCATGTATCAGATTAGCTGCTATCATCACAAACAAACACTATGGGGATCTCCAACCTAAATGTCAAACTGAGCAGCTCTTCATCTTCCCAGCATGTCTTCTTTCTCCACTCAGTAATGGCAGAGCCCTGGGAATCACCCTTCCAATTTAGTCCTTCAAAGTATTGATCCGGCCATAGTTTCTCCACTGCACTACCCACCAGTATGTTACCACTGTTCCTGCACCAAATGACTCGCCTCACATTAGGCAGATCGACCTTTCTTGAAACCACTGTGATGGTTTCCCATCACTCTTAGAATCAAGTGACATTCCTTCAACTGGCCCAGAAGGCCTTGCATGTCTTGTCCCATCTATTTAGTCTCATCTTGTGCTATTCTCCCCTTGCTCACTAGCAAGAATCCTACCAGATTCTTGCATGCTCCTTGAACTCAATAAGCAACTTCTTGTCTCAAGGTCCTTGGACATGGCTGTTCCTCCTCCCTGGAAAACTCTTCTCTCTCTCTTTGCCTGGCTCATACCAATACTTCCTATCTCTGCTGAAAAAAACCTTCTTCAGAGATCTTTCCCTGAGTCCTCCAAAAATAGACTTAAGTCTTCCTGTTAGATGCACTTATACCTTCTTTCCTATCATTCATTTCTACAGTAAGCATATACTACTTACGTTGATTGTTTAGGGTCAGTTCTCCACTAGACAGTGCACTCAGTGAGGATGGGGCTGTGCTAGTCTGATCAGCCAGGCACAGAGAGAGCCCTCAGTAAGTATTCGTTGCCTGGAAGAATGTATGTATGGATTGAACTGATCCTGTATCTCTCTCTCCTTTGAAGAACTCCATACAGGAAGGCCTGACTGTTGTGGGTTGCTTGCCTCAACTGTTCAGGTGAATGGTATTCAGGAAAAGCATGCATTTTGTTCTTTCAAATATTTTAAGTTTAAATGAAGCAGGTTCATGGTTTCAAAATGTGAACATCAGAAAAACACATTTTGTTAAGTGCTGTCGAGTCTGTTCCGACTCATAGCAGCCCAATATGGGGCTTCCAACCTTGTGGCTAGCAGTCCAGTGCTTATCCTACAGTGCCACACCAGGACTCCAGAAAAAAAACACAGCAATCTGTAATTTTGCTGAGGCTCAAACTTGAGTCACATCAAACTGGGGTGTGGGGACTAATTCTTAGAGAACCTAAGCTCAACTGACAAGCCCAGCATCTAACTTCTTAGTGGGGCTGCACTGCTCCCCAGAAATGTTTGCAAAATGTAGGGCTCAAGGTATTCTCGATGCCACAAGTAAGTTGTACAGAAGTACTTTAACAATATACAGAGAGAGGTTAGACCAAAGAGGAGTAGCCAGCTCCTTAAACTCTTGCCTTCTAATCTTTCTCAATAATTTCATAGAGAACAATTTCCTGTTTTCATTGTACACAGACTCTGGCAACAGACCTAAGTTTGAATTCTGGTTCTGTACTTAACTGCTGTCTCAGCTTTTGTTTT